GAATATTGCAAAATATTTTTTACACGATATGAACGGATTTTGGGTACTATTATAAAAATTCTTTGTTTTTTTAATTATTTGAAAAAAATATTATTTTCACATTTTCTTAATAATTTTACAACAAAATTAACCGATCACTACAACGGACGTCTATACTTTTTGAACGCGACGAAAGAACTAAATGATTGAGCCCTTCTAGAACTCTCTTTAACCGGTATGAATTCTAGAATTCCCTCTAACTAGAATGACGGAGAATATAAGGACTGACTTACGAAAGAATTTGTAACGATTTTTGATTTTTAAGAGAATGTACTGTCATTTTCTTTGGGAGTAGTTATGAGGGAAACGGAAGGAATTTGGCATGTTGTACTTTTTTTTTAACATACAACCAAACCTAGATAACAGTGATGGAATGAAAGGCAAACTCACACACATTGTTTAACAGATCAGAGTGGTTATATGCTTAAAGAGCATAACTAGTTCAAAAGAAAACTCTTAGTTTTTTATGAACAAAATGCAATGGTATGCTTATCTAAATTTAAGAGAGATTTGAAAATAAGTTATTGAACAATAAAAAGAAAAATATTGAAAAAGGGGTATTAAACGTTTTTAACCCTACGGTAATAACCGGGTACATTTGTACCTATTTTCGAATAAAAATGCAGTAAAACTTTTAATAATGGAGATATTTGGACCAATTTTTGAGGAATCATTTTTGAGGTATTTTCGCACATAATCGAAAAAAAATTATAAATATTTTCCATATATATAATTTTTAAAAATTTTTAAAGTTATTACCTACGTAGATCAATAACCGTGGTATATTTGTACCCATCCAAAGATAGCTCTGTAACTCATTAAAAAATTAGACTATCGTCAGGTTTTTTGTTTTAAATTAGTCTATACGGATCTGATCTAGATGTAGGAACTCAAAATTATATATACATTAAAATAATATATATTTAAATCCATGCTTAAATTATAATCTATCTAAAACAAGCATAGTAAATTCGTTATAGCTTTCGAATGGGTTAAGCTTTTTTAGTTATTTTTTTTTTGGGATCTTATTTAGGTGTTCCTCAACCCCTCTGCAAATTTTTGTGGCCCTAGATAACATGGGGCCATCAGGGCGACTCGTGGAAGTCAAAATTTCGTATATATTTCGTGACGGCACGTTTTCTCTCTTTCCTTCAGTCATTTTTGATGATGATCTCTCAGTTACACTCTCTCACACTTACTCATTATTTAGTTCTGTTCAACACTGTTCTAGAACGTTAAAAAATCTCTTAGAACTCTTACTTCTTAAGAAGAATAAAAGTTTCGTATTTCAACCTCAACGAAGTTTCCCCCGCATCAAATTCTTTTAAGAGTTCCAAAATACCATATTTCAATACCTCACATTCTACTATTTTTTTTTTATTCGTCTCCGGATAACCCACCATAACAGAATTTTTGACAGTCTTCGTTTTGTGTGAGAAATGCCCAAACTGTATTAAATCTTTTACACACATAAACCTAGATTCAACATTGTTCATTTCCCCTTATGCGCCATGTTCTTTTTTTAATTTGGTTCGGTTCATAAAAAAATAAGATTTTACTTTTGAACTAAATATTCTCTTTTGTCCAAGTTAATTCCAGAGAAATGTCTATTTTGAGTACACACTCTTAAAATTCCAACCAAACCAATGCAATAACTAATTTTATACATCCTTCGTTAAGTCCATCACTTTCCCCATCATTCCAGTAAGGGAGAGATTCTTCTGCCATACACAAAACTTGACGTGTTAAAAAGTATGCTCGTAAGGTTAAAAAATACTAACTTCATCATAGACAAATGAAGGAATAGACACCAAAATGCTCTCACCAACGCTCTCTCAAATTGAGTTACCTAACAGGTATTTTCCTTTTTAAGCCGAATTTATAAACTTTTTAAGGTGAAAGACTATAAATATAGTTAGATTTTTGCAAAATCTATAACATAGGATACAAATATTACATAAAATCTTTCTACTTTTGCTACAAATTGGGTTTGAGTTTTTTGGTTTGAGTCACTTCACTAGCAATGGTTCTATAATTCATTTGTCTATGACTTCATATTGCATTACCATCATCAAGACTAATGAATGTTAAAAGGAAGTGACTCAAACCAAAAAACTCAAAGCCAATTTGTAGCAAAAGTATCAATATTTTATGTAATATATTTATCCTGTGCTAAAGATTTTGCAATAATCTAACTATATTTATGGTCTTCCAACTTAAAAAGTCATTAAATTCGATTTAAAACGGAAAATGCCAGTTAGCTAACTCAATTTGAGAGAGCGTTGGTGAGAGCATTTTGGTGTCTATTCCTTCATTTGTCTATGATGATGTTACCATTCCCATTGGAACTATTCCCTAATAATTTCCAATACACTCTTTGAAAAATCAAAAGGAAACCAATGAAATCAATCTGTGTTCCAATTTCCTTCGTTAAGTTCCAAATGTTCCCCATCATACCTGAAGGAAAAAGAACGAGAACTGCCCAATCATTTAGTCCTTGTCCAAGCTACTCCCAGAGAAATATCTACTTTGAGTACACACTCTTAAAATTCCAACCAAACCAATGCAATAACTTTGTTTATACATCCTTCGTTAAGTCCATCACATTCCCCATCATTCCAGTAAAAGAGAGAGGGAGTTCCAGAATTTTCTTACTAAATATTATTCTCTTCTACCATACACAAAACTTGAAGTGTTAAATAGTAAGGTTAAAAAAAATTAAATTCATATTCCATTACCATTCCCATTGGAATTATTCCTCTGATAATTTCCCATTACCAATAGGAAACCATGCAATCAATCTGCGTTCCAAATTTCCTTCATTAAGTTCCAGATATTCCCCATCATATCGGTTGGAAAAAGATCAACAACTGGACACTCCTTTAGTTCTTTCGTCGCGTTCATAAAGTGTAGACGTCCGTGATAGTGATCGGTTAAATAATTTTGCAAAAAAATTTAAAAAAATATTAAATATTTTTGAAATAATTGAAAAAGTTGAATACAACAAAAAATAGTGAATAAAATCCGTTCTTTATACAGCTTGTAATAAAAATATTCTGCAATGCTCCTTTCTTTCTATTGCAAAAATGTTGGCTTATTAGAATATGTTAGTGTTCGAGTGCGTATATGTATCCGCTTGCTTGTTTTGTTGTTTATTCGATCTTCCATCTGTACGACTTCGGCTACAAAACCACGTTTTAATAAAAAAAATGTATTCCCTTTTCAACAACGTTTCCGTGTCCGCGACAAAGAGAGTACAACCCTATTTCCTCTCGGTTTACTATTCGTTTACCGGTTAATAAGTGTTAGTGATTTTTTCTTGGCTTCGTGCTTGTTCGCATTCGGTTGAGGGTGAATACAAAAGCTTCTTTAGATAAATTTGTGTGTTAGTTTTTAAAAGTGTTCATCGCTTAGTGCGGATTCGAACCATAAAAAGTAGTTAAATTTTTCACAGTCATAGATAATGCATAAATATTAATGTCAAAAAAATAGTATTCGAAATTCGGTGTCTTAAATAAGAGGTTGCAGACGGAAAAGTTGAAAATAAATATAAAAAAATATTTAAAATCGCAGTTATAGATAAAGTAAAAATAATATTCGAAATTCATTGCTTTAAAATGTGTTTCAGGCGAAAAAGTTAAAAATAAATATTAATAACAAGTGTAAAAAAGTAATATAAACAAATAATATCGAATAAATAAAAAATTAATTTAAAAAATCTTATGGAATATATAAAAAGAGTCAATAAATTATTTTTATAGCAGGCAAAAGGAGTTTAAAAGGTAAGTGGTTTAAACTTGTGTAACTAAGATTAGCGCCATCTAGTGATTTTTTATCAATTAATTTTCACAGATCAAATGAATAGGGTAAGTGCTCCTAATACCGGCATATACCAATAGTCGTCACCTGTTGCATATAACTTCATATAACTAAAATATCCTATAACCATATATGAAAAATACCTTGAATAATCCTCAATAACACTGCAAACTATCTCTGTATACATTTTCGGACGAAAATATATATGTTAGCTATATCTTAATACGAACCGATTTTCACGAAACTTAACACATATCATTCTAGACTTAATTCAGTATTCTATGCCAAATTGCGTCCAAGTCGAAGGATATATAGGGGCATTGGTTCATCATTTACATTAAATCGGACGCAAATATATATGGGAGCTATATCTAAATCTGAACCCCTTTTCAGAAAACTTTCACACATCATTCTAGATTCGATTCAGTATGTTATTTTGGGGATTTGGTGCTCCATTAACCTAAAATCGTACGAAAATATATATGGTAGCTATATCTAAATCTAAACCGATTTTAACGGAACTTTGCACACATCATTCCAGGTTTAATTCAATACGCTATGCCATATTTCGTGTAAATCGAAGCATATATAGGGGCTTTGGTGCACCATTTACCTAAAATCAGACGAAAATATATATGGAAGCTATATCTAAATCTGAACCGATTTTCACGAAACATAACACACATCATTCTAGACATAATTTACTACGCTATGCCAAAGTTCTTGCAAATCGAAAGATATACAGGGACTTTAGTACACCATTTCATCCAAATCGGATCATAAATGCGACCTGTACTTTGTTTACAATTTAACACCATCGGACGGACATGCATAATCGACTCAGAATGTGATTCTATGCACATTCTCTAAGGGAGTCATGTGTCTATTTCCTTCCTTTTGAATGTTACAAACATATGCACAAAGACATAATACCCTGTACCTCAGTAGCAGGGTATAAAAATAGATATAATCTTTTAATAATTTATTTCATTAAATAAAAACTGAATTTACAAATTCCGCATGTAATAATAATATATACAATTATTTTCCTCTCAATTTAAAACTTGTACTTTAATAATGAACACAAATTTTAACATGTTTCATTTTCTTTTTCTGTTCTGTCTTTTTCTGTTACACCATTCTTATGAACCTTGAGCTGGTTCCTTTTTAACTTCGGTATTTGTTGGTTGTGGGTTAAAATGATTCTCAAGTAGTGTTTCACATAAACGTATTTTATCACTATCATTAATTTTTCCTTGGAACATGCCCTCTTTTCCATTACCTTTACCATCTAATATTTCCATGAATTTGGGGCCAAATTCTTCGACTAGCTCTGGATCACCCTTTAATACCATATGACCTTTACCGGGTTGGCGTCCCACGCTTGGTTCCGAAACGGTAAGGAAAAATAATGATATTCCGTCGACAGATACATTTCTCAAAAATGTATTAATGAAGTCGGGTTCAATTCCATCTTTTTTATGCAGACTATAGTATTTAGGCAATGGTTTCGGTAGTGATTCTAATTTTTCAGCTTCCATAATTGCCAAATCTCGCAGAAGTTTCTGAAATGATTTCTTTGTTGCCTTAAGGTTATTCTGTAGTTTTTGTATAAGTTCGACATGTTGCAATGGGCCACCTCTGTAATGAGCAAATGAGCAAATTAATATGAATCATTTCTTATTATTGTTGTTGTTGTTGTATAGGTTTACTTACTTTAAGGCCAAGGTAACTTGCTGCTCTCTGGCAAAACATTTTCCCAATGTTTTTGGTACACGTTGACCAACCACGAAATGTACATAGACACTGTTCTTGTTCTTCTCCTCATACAACAATTTAACACATTGTAATTGGGATAGATTGTTGACATGGGTGCCACAGCACATGTTATCACGCTGACCTTCAATGCGAATAACTCGCACTGGGCCTTCTACGTCTTTGGGCAGACCTCTGGGGGCTCTTAAACCCTGCATCTATATAGGAAATTAAATACTAATAATTATTTCTTGTTCTAAATGTTATTTGAAATTCCGTACCTGATGCAATGCCTTCTCATCGATCAAAGCCACACTGACCGGTCTACCCTCTCTTATGATATCGTTTGCCATATTCTCAATAACATCCAACGATTCACGGGTGATAACATGTTTGGTATTCAATTCAATGTAGGATGTCTCACTACCCAACCACCACGAAGTGGTATCATAGTTAAATTCCTTATCAAACAATTCCGTAATCAAATGTTGACCAGAATGTTGTTGCATATGATCCAAACGTCTTTCCCAATCAACAATTTGCAAGACTTCCGTGCCAACTTCAAAAGCTTTAAATGTCTCAACAAAATGAACCGCTTCCTTTCCTTTACGTATAACACTACGTACTGGAAAGCCATTAATGGTGCCATAATCACAGGGTTGACCACCACCCTCGGGGAAGAGTATGGTATCCTCACATACGACATTAAAGCCCTCTAGTTCGACGGGTTCTGCATCGCCATTGGACGGAAGTTTTAACTTTGCTTCTTCGCATGACACGACTGTGGTTGTGAACTGGAAAATTAGATTGGAGTAGAGAATATTACAAAGGTATGGGATATAATTTTTTGTACATACTTGCCGTAGAAAGCTATCTTCTTGACACTTAAAAACCATTTTTGTCCTCCTGCAATGAAGTCTGAACTTTTGTTTATGATGTTGTTGGTTATGCAAATGCAATAATTTTTGGCAAACAAAACGGTTTGTAAATAGAAATCAGCTGTTTGCTGTTCAAAACGCAGCAAGTGTTACTGCACACGTGTTCTATGTAGATTAGAACCGGAACCGGTTTCTATAAGGTTTTACCCGTGTTTTCCAACCGAAATGGGTTTAATTTGGCTTTCTGAATTCTGAAGTTCATATCCCAATTTTTCAATGGAAAGGTCTGTAATTCTTCATTAATGTCTATGTTTTGTCTGGTTTGGCATGTACATCAACAGGTTAGGTTAGGGATGTACGGTTTTTAGTAACAACCGTCCATTCGGAGTCCATTGTGATCATCCTTTGTACCAGAAAAGAAAACGGGAAGAGAGAGATGGTTATTTAAGCCATAGATAAGATTTTTGACAAAGCCTAGGATCTGGTTGGGGTATATTTTAGAGAAGAAGGCTAGATTATGTTCAATTGTTTCTAGCTCTTCTTTGTACTCACATAGACGACAGTAATCCTCTCCGCTGGAGTCCCTTTTCGAAGTGAGATATCTAATCCTCCTAATGATTTTGATCTATCTCTCGCTTTTTATGTGCCAACAGCGAAAAAGTTATTCGGCGAGAGAATTGTGTTAAACGTCGTGATCACATTTCTCCTTACGTTAAAGAGTTCCTCGGTTGTACCTTTGAAAGTTTTGTGAGTTTAAGGTCAATGTTGTTGTTCTATAAGGTATTTAAGTTGCAGACTCCTTCCTCTGTAGTTGATTTGTTTATGTTTTCTAGATCTGTTAGAAACATACAAATACTTGTTCCGCGTTTGTGTCCTTTATTGGAAAAAGCCTTTTTTGTACGAATTTCTAGAATTTTTAACACCTTACCGCCTTCTCTTAAAACATTTAATTCTTCCCTAAAATGTTATCGAACTCATTTATACGATTACTTCAACCTCAATTCATCTTAAATTCATAGGTTTTGCTTATTTGTTTGTGTTTTTATTGCATAACTGATTTCAACATTTAAATAAATTTAACTATAATAAATTATATGTTTTAATTGATAATTGTGATATAATAATAAGATATTTGAACCTGTAAATTGAATTTAGTGGTTGAGAGTAGATATAATATTGAAGTCCTTTTCCCTATGTGATAGGTTGCTGCATCAAATAATGGAATAATAATAATAAAAATGTTTTTGAAGTACAATGGTTCTAAACCCCTCCAACTGAATAGACGTTAAGATATCATTAAGCTAATACACTGTTAGTTTTAAGCTTTTGGAGTAGTTTATATTTTGTTGTTTTTGAATCGCTTTTGGCCCTTTGGACTAGATTCTCGTTTATGAAATAAATTGAAATTGAAAAAATTGAATTGAAATTGAATTAGCATTTGAGATTCTGCAACCAGGTTCTCTCGACCATCCGACTACCTTGCCGTAGGACAAGATTTACAGATCTCTCAATCTGGAGATTGGACGATTCGTTCCCTTCTATGTCACTATGTCCTGGAACCTTACATAAGTTAACTATCCGTCGTATATCATTCAGAACGGAATTGTAAACAAGAACTGCTTTTGAGTTTATAGTACACCACTTCAAAGCCTTGAGGGCCGCCTGACTATCGACATATAGTCACCGGTCCCGTATTATCGGCAGTTAGTGTTTTTACTATCTCGGCCGATTTGGTTATTGCAAGGATTTCTGCTTGAAAAACTCTACAAAGATTGTTAAGGTTATATGAGTTGTATATTTCTAATTTCCTTTGACCCGTCTGAAAAAAATTAAGACACAAGTCCAGAATTCCCTACTAGGAAATTCTACGTTGATGTCATTAAAGTCTCTACGAGAGGGATCATAGGAACTAATGTGAATATTTCTCCTCAAGAAATCACAACCTGGCGTTATGTTCAGCGATTTCCAAACATTATTTCTCGGAGCCTCAGGGCACACCTGGGCGCCTGGAATTTAATCAGAATGTCCAGTGGCTGGAGATTCAAGATCACATTCAAGGCTGCCTGTGGTGTACTTCTTAGCGCTCCGGTAGTCAGGATTGAAGCCGATCGCTGTACAGAATTTCATTTTGTCAGCAGTATCTTTTTATTGACCCCCTGCCACCATACAAGGCAACCATATGTAAGAATGGGGAGAACGAGCGCCACATACAGCCAGTGTATGATATCTGGTCTTAGTCCCCAGCTCCATCCTATGGAGTTCTTGCAAGAGTAGAGTGCTATCCGCGTTCCTCAACATTCCTACACCACGTTAATTTGCGGTCAAGAATTGTACCAAGGTATTTTGCTTCTTCAGAAAGGCATAGGGTCACTCCTCTCAAAGATGGCAAGCGGAAACTAGGAATCTTACGTTTCCTAGTGAAGAGCACCAATTCTGTCTTAGTGGTGTTTACACCAAGACCCATTGCGTGTGCCCAGTTAGACAGAGTTGAAAGGGCGCCCTTTATAATGTTTGAAATTGTGATTAGAAATTTCCCACCAACCAGCAAAACTACATCATCGGCATAGGCTACAACCTTTGTTTTAAGATTATCGAATTTCAGCATTATCTCATTTATCACCAGAAGCCACAGAAGGGGTGGTAGTACTCCCCCCTGTTACACCGCTTAGATTCATCTGTTAATGTATATGCGGAGCTATTAAAACCGAACTTATAATACACTCGTAAAGAAGTTGTGTAGAGAATAAAAACTATTTCGCCCACAAATTCCTCAAAATTTTAATTTAATAATTTCAATTTGGCATATTATTTTTATTTGAAAACGTTTTTTGAACTATTCCAATGGAGCTTAACAAAAATGAAGATTGTTTTCATTGTTGGAGGGACAATTTAAATTTAACCCACGAAAAAGTTAAATTAAAAAATCCAAAATATTGTTGGATATATCCAAAACATGAACGCAAAGAATTGAAAAATATTTTGCCAAATTTTGAAAATTGCAAAACCTCAATTTATACGAAATGTGATTATTATTTAGAAAAGCATGCACATGAGATGATATTACATTTGGAGAAACTACTTAAGGCCTATAATGAACTAACGTATAACGAATTGCAATCTCAAAATCAATTGATAGATGATATATGGGTAAATTCGCAAAAGTATTTAATATTATCAGGGTAAGTAATGCAATTTATTTTGGAATATATGTAAATGATAAGAATGCCCATTCATTAATCATAATAAATTTCATTGCTTCAGAAATGGTCTTTGTGTTAAACCTTATCCAGATATTATATCACGTAGATATGAACAGGAACTAATGCATACAATTTGCAGTAAAATAAATAAATTGCACAAGTCTAAGTAAGTTATGTCGCAGACATAAAATCATAAAGATTATAGTTTTGAGCCCTGATCTTTAAATGTATATAAATTATATACTTAATGGAGTTTTAAATATTAACATGGCTATGTAAGGACAAAAGCCTTTACATTATATATATTTTTGTCAATTCTTTACATATGCATCTAAATGAAAAATATAATTATATTATATTATTATCAGCGATCGCCTTGGTAAATCCTTGTCAAATATAAACGCACAAATGATCGAACTAAAGAAACGCTGTAATAAATTGGATTATAATGTCGAGAGTCCATTTATATTGGGAACATATAATCTGAAATCATTGGGCTATACACGGCAACTAATTGAAGACCTCTATGAATATTTCCATGAGCAATTGTTCAAATTAAAATGCTGGGCTCAATTAATTGCACCCGAAGATTCAGTATCTATTGAAGATTATAGAACATTAATACATCCCTGTAAGGAATATGAAAATCGCATTATGGAGTATTTAGATTCATGTAAATGTATGCGTTCCAAGAGAATTAATTGTGTAAACGATAACAACTAAAAATTATATTATGTAACCGAAATTTATATAGCGATTCAAAAATTAAACGAAAACTGTTAACATTTTGAAAATATTTAATGTTGCTGTTGGTCTATATTTAAAATATGCCTATAATATTCAGGATTGCCTCAATTTGTGTAGGCATATCTATACCAAAATAGATCCTGGAAAAAACAAAGTATGTATCAAAAATATTCTATTAGAATTTGAAATGACAATTTGCCAAAGTTATAGTTAAAATAAATATAATCGGACGATATAGTCCCATGGAGCCTATACCCCAAAGTAAGCCTATATTAACATGTTCGGGTTTGGTTTATACTGCTGGGAAGCTTTGATTGTAATTTGGAATAATATTTTCAATTCCCTTTACGCTTTATCCGTGGTATATTCGTCAACAGTCAACCGAGAAGGTATTCAGCAGCATGCATTCTGTTTCTCCACAATCCTCTGCATTTGCTCCAAATTAGGATGGACCCACAGAAATGTCACGTGCGGTCACATAGCAATCAATTACACTCGCTGATCCTTCCATCACCTTCGGCCTTGTCAATCATGGGAACTCTATGATTATCTGGTACCATCTGTCGTGTTGCCCTTTCAATCGTCAGAGGAGACCTTGATGGTCTTCTGCCAATCAGCGATCTATATTTGCAGAGGATGTGTTCAATTGTTTGTAGCTCTTCTTCGTCCCCTCAGTAATCCTCTCCGACGGAGTCCCATTTCGAAGTGAGAGTTAAAATCCTGCAGTGACCTGTTATCATCCCCACAATGATTTTGATCTTTCTCTTATTATGAACCAACAGCGAAGTTCTTTTGCGAGTGAATTCAGGCCAGTAGATTTTGAGATTCTGCAACCAGGTTCTCTCGACTATCTGTTACCAACCACCTCGCCGTAGAACAAACGGATTTTGCCAATGAAATAGCCAATGGGTGGTTTCACAGATCTCTCAATCAGAAGATTGGACGATTGTGAGCCCTCGAGCAAGCTCGACGGCTATCTCATTCCCTTCAAATGTCACCGAAGGCTGGACTTCTTTTAACAACAATGTTGTCTTTAAATCTGGTTGCTGTTCCTCCGTCCATCTCATTCCCTTCATTGAGGATGAGGATACAGGGACTTTGGAACATCAATTACCTAGAATCGGACAAAAAATTTTATGGGAGCTATATCTAAATCTGAACCGAATTTCACGAAACTCAGCACACATTTTAGACACAATTCAAGTTATAAATATCAGGAATTAGCGGTAAATAAGCTGGTCGAATCGAAAATATGAACTACCCCGACTTAATTATCGAGAGTTCACTGTATGCCCTATATTATAGTACGTTTACATTTGACCGGATTTCGTTAACCCAGTGGGTTTCAATTGTCAATTCCTTTGCATATATGTCAAATAAATCCTCATAAAGTAGGTTAACCCGGAAAAAGTTCTAATGTATATGCCGTTTTAGATACATAGATTTTTTTTTAAATCCACGCTTTATTTTATACTTAATGCTTTTGAAAAATAATAATCTTCAAAAAAACAGACGCTTTGAAATATTCCTAGAGAAATTCACGACGTTAGTTTTAGGAAAAACATTGTTTAACAAATTTACTTCTTGATATCTTGCGGATCATATTTTTGGAAGGTGGTATTCGGGTCAGCGTTATTTTGGCGACAAAACTTACGTTACGTTATAATTTGCTCTGTAAGTTGTTACGTATTTGAATAACTAATTTCGAACCATTAAATGTCAAAATTGAACTGTCATGAAAAAAACAAAAACAACAACACGATGTCAAAACATTCAAAATGTTTGTTTATATACATGTTTGTTTATAAAATTGGAATCGGCAAAAATGGGCGATAATCAAAAACAACCATACAATGAAATTGAACAAGAAATCTTGGGACAAATCTTGATATTGGAAAAAGAATTCCGTGATCACAATACCTTGATGAAAAATGAACTTGTACAGCAAAAGGAATTGATCTCAAGATTATGGGTGTTATCACAAAGATACATTTTACTTATAAGGTTAGAAAAATAATATTTAAATATTTGACCTAATAGATAATAACACACTGTATCTCACAGCACTGGACCATGTTGTAAATTTCCGGAAATATATGCTGGTCCAGCAGAGGAGACAATTCTACAGGAATTCTGCGATAAGCTAAAGGCTGTTAAATCGTCCAAGTAAGATGAAATTCACATAAATATACATTTGTAATTAATTGTCAATTGTTTTTGGTTAATTTCAGTTGCCGCATTTCCGTCTCCCTGTCCGAGCTGCGTACATCACATCGTCTGTTTGAGAATTCATGTCGAAAATTGGACATGAACGTTCAATCGTTACTTATAACCGGTGATGCCTATCACAAACCTTTGGAATATTTTATCGAATTAACCAGTGACTTATTTAAATATTTTCATGCTTGGATTTTAAAATTGAAATATACTACAAATTTAATTGATCCGCATAAATGTGAAGGCATTGAACATTATAAGACATTACTGGAACCTTCAGAGGACTTTGAAGAATACCTTAATGTCGGCTTGACCTATTGTAAATGTTTGAGACCAAAACCCACGTGCTAAATTGAAATATATATATATATATATATGATATATGTACATACACTTTATTTGGTATATTTTTTAACAATTCTGTGATATACATATCAATATAGAGAACGTGTAAAATCGTTTACACAAAAAATATATATGAAATGACAAAACTGATTAAAAGGAAATATGATTGCATTACTGATAATACAAAATATAAGTAGTTAAAACGGCATATAAACGGAATTTACATTAGAACTTTTTACCGGGTTAACCTACTATATGAGGATTTATTTGGCATGTATACAATGGAATTGACAATTGAATAAAAAGCTACTGTAGCTCTAAGCAATTGGGAAAATATATTATTTGCTTTGATAGCTCATTACAAAATATTCTTATTAATATTATTAAATAAAAATTGCATTCTTTCTGTAATTAAACAAGTATTCTTTACAAAATAAAAAAATATATATATAAATATATATTGTCCGCGCCTTGATTGCTCATTTGGGAAAATATTAAAAAATAAACACATGATAGCTCCTCAAAAAAAAATATTTTAAATTAAGGCATTGGTAAATCCTTGGAAAAATATTCTGTAAAAATCTCATCTTCAATAACCCATTAGAAAAAATTCTTTAAAAGATCCTTACAAAGTTATCTGATTATTATTTATCATATTTATGTTTTGGAAATTTATATTTATTTGGGATAAAATGCAAAAAATGTTGAGGAAATTTTAGATGATTTAATTTGCGACAATTATTAATTTGTTTTTGTAACATGTGTATAGCTTGAAAGTTAAAAATGGGTCGTAATTTGGTATAGATTGTTGAATAAATTCTGAAGGTTTCGTGGTCAAGAATTTAACATTTCGAGGACATGGTTGTATCCACATATTAGTTGCACGACAATGAGACGCCTTTGGTGTTGCACCATTCGAAATAGCAAAAATATATTGATTTATGATTTAGTTTCCATAGATTGGATTCAATCACGTTAAGACTTGAAAGACGATCTATCATTATATGATGGTTGATATATGATATATCAGACCTCATGCCAGTTGGTATTTTCATGGAGGTAAGAATGGTTGTCATCTGGATGGGTCTCCTACCTCTGCAGGCGTAAAAAAAAGCCCCAGAACTTTATATAATCTCAAAATAAATTTGAAATTCAGCTGGTACGGCAAAAATGTTCCTCATAGAAATATTTGTTTTATGACCCATGTTTCTTTGACCAAATCTGTTTCAGACAATGTAGAGTCGATTTACAAATGTCCGTTTGTCTGGCAGGCTGGTGCGCACGATAACTCTCGAAAGAAATAACCGATTTCATCCAAACTTTGCACATCGTAATATTTTTTCTAAACTTAAATCAAGTTTGAAGAAAACGTGTACATCTACATAAAGCGAAAGGAATATCCGATTTCATTTCATAGATCAAGTTCGAAGGTAGGATCCGTCGGTCCTCTCCTACTGGTACCAAATTGTTATACTTTTGTCAAATCAAGTTCGAAATTGGAAATCATTGTACCGCTCTCCTTAAAACCTCCCACTCAAAATAATAAAGACAGTGTGTAATTCCGTAGACCTTCGCAAACCTTCGGCAACGCCAACTTTATTACTTGTTTTGTAGGGATTTGACATTTATTTGAATATGGATTGGGACAAGTTGTGTTTAGGGGCTCATTTCGGTTTTTTTCTGAAATGTTTACTTTTTCTAAATAGTCACCAATATTACCATCATCGGTACATAAATGACGAAGTTGTGAACATATAAATTCCGGAATTTCAGAGGTCCATATCTCGGGAATGTATGGACTTCCCCTTCTTGGAAAAATCCAAGATGAGCCCCTAAACTTAACTGAAACCAGGGATGGTTTTCGGGTCAATTTCATAACAATCGGACAAAAATTAGACCTGTATTTTGATTATAGAAATACTAGGTTTGTTTATCCAAGTTTTAGGCAAAAGTTGTGTTCTGCGGCTCAAGAAAACCATCTATTTTCCTCTATTCCCGTCCCTTTCATCTTTTACTTTTCAGGTACTTATTGAGGATGGGCATAATGGACCAAAGGTCTTCGAGTGAAGACAATTAAAATGTAATTATTTCATATAATCTACAAATCTTAAATCCTCGACCGATAGCCGTCCATAGAATCAAACTAAACGTTGGGCACCTTTTATTTCATAGGATACACTAAATTTTTCAAATAATAAACAATATATTGTTATATCCGGACCTCAATAGCTTTAAAGTGATCAAATGATTCGCGACCTTGACTTGTTCCAAGTCGATTCTACATATCATTATCATCATTGAAGGATCACATGCATCATTATTGAGTCAATTCAGGACATCAAAAAATTCTAAATTTAATATAAAAAGGACCAATTATTTCAGCAATTATGATGGTAGAACACCCATAGAATTTG